TAGAAATGGTAGTGAAATTGTCACAATACAATTTTACTGAAACTTGCTTCCGAAATGGTACTAAGGCTCTCATTTAATGTGGATACTGAAGATGAGTCTAACTACAGTCCTTGCGAAAAAAAGCTGGGTTTCGAGGAATATCTTGTTTCAGAATTGTTCAGCTCACTTCAATTTCGAGTGGAAATGTTTGATGAAGAGATTCGAAGGTCGGTTCCACCAGAAGACGAAGGCTGTCGATTGGCTTTACTGGAAGATTCATACTGATACTGTTGCCATGATAATCTCCTTCGATTCCTGTGAAAAGGTGTTAAGCTTTCATCCGTCATTTGACGAACATCATCAGAGCAGGGTACCATCGTCACAACCAAATTCAAGCTAATAATTGAAGAAGACGCACCGGCAAATTCCTAAAAAGCGGTATATATAATCTACATGTGGCCTCTTTTATCATGTAGAAAGTGATTTGGTTAGTTACGGTCATATGTCAACGTCGAAGACTGAAAGTCTGTCTGTCTCTGATTGTGTATGTGCCTGTTTGTGTTCGCTTATGCATGAAACCCGAAGTAATTAGGACAGCAAAAAGGAACGTCTGTTTTTGGCCATCAAGGTTTTATGACCCTATCTGCCCCTTTTATACATTTAAGTTATAAACATCATTTGTATGGTTTTGTTGATGATTACTGGTCTCAATGCGAGAGAGAAGGAGTGAGCTAAAAGTACAGATAAGTGAGTATTATCAAAGCAAAGATATGAAGAGAGGATAGAAGCAGAGGAAGCTAGAGCTAGTTGGCTGACAAAAATCGTGATTCAAGGATCACGTTTATGATCACAACCGTCTATTGTTAGCCAAATAGCTTTAGTCTTTTCTGTTTCTATCTGTAGTACCATGTCCATTGCTTCCTACGTCCCACAAATGTCGTGGTTCTACTTGTTTTGATCGAGCTCACTGAAGACGTTTCCTCTTTGCTTTTGATTGTTTCTTTCTCATTCCTCTGCGATCTCTTTTCCTAAAATTAAGAATATTACCTTAATCCAGTCGTCTTCTTTTTGCTGATCTT